TTCTGTATTGATTGCACTTTTTTGTTAACTCTTACTTCTGTCCCAAGGTATTTACCCCATTGATGCGATATGTGCTATTAGGTCTTACTAGTATTTATTAGTTATCTTAACAGGGACCTCACTAGGATTGAAAGACGGAGGGGGAAATTAGCCCCCAGGATATGCCTAACTTGCACTTGCAAAATCTTTAAACTCGCTTCTTTTGTTACTGTATTAGAACTACACTTATGTCAACAACCACTGAAGACAAGATATTAACAAATAAAAAGTGACAGACATACTGTAATGTTACATGGGCGTGGGGGCGTCCTCCTCCCGGATATATTTATATATATATAGCCTATACACACATATATATATTTATATATATTGAGAACAAGATGTGATGTTTATTAACACCGTTTTATTAGGGCCTGAGCACGAACCGTGCGAGGTCCCTATTGAAACTGGATTTGTTTGTTTGTTTTTTCTGCAAAGTAACCTCAATTTTGGGGGCCTAAAGATATTCGACTCACCAAACTTTGCATAAAATTCAGGAGTGGTGAAAAATTCCGTATTTTATGTGTTTCGCGCATGGGCGTGGCAAAATGGCTCGCTAGCACCCCCTACAGTCGTGCCCTGGACACACCCATATGCCAATATTCACTCAAAGTCATAGCGCCACTTGCTGGCAACAGGAAATTACATGTTTTACGCTGTAATGTACTGCTCTAGCACGTTGGACATATCAACTTCAGAACTTTCCCAGAAAGCCGCAGTAAGTAGCGTGAGGTGGCTTGGCGGCAAAGTTCCACGCTTTGCCACGACGAAGTTGTTGTAGCTCGACTATACATGCTCAGATCTCTACCAAATTTTACACGTTTATTAAGAGTCCCGCCCTGAACACACGTACATGCCGACATTCACCCACAGTCATAGCGCCACCTTTATAGTCGTAGTGCGAAGTGCTATGTAGCGCTATGTAGCACCACAAAGGGGAAACAGGAAGTGATGATTAACACGTTTGTGCAGCACCCGATGCCCATGGCAAATTCACAGCCGCACCGGCAGAGCTCTAGAATCTGCAACGCGGCCGCCTCACACCTCGACAATATGACCCCCTAAAAAGGCCTAACAACATCCCTGGCTCTTACTAGTATGTATTGTCAGTTGCCGTTCTCGTGCTGTATTTGATGCTTTGTTGATGCTTGTATGTTGTTCTTCAAAAGCGAGTCGCTTTGGATAAAAGCGCCTGCCATATGAGCAGATGTAAATGTCACGTAAATGAGGGGGAAATCCCTCTGGATGGATGAAAGATACACACTTTGTTGACTTCCTTAAATATTTGAATGAACATGCAAAGTGCTCAAGTGAGAAGCACTGTTGAAAAAACTAAGTCAAACAGCAATGCCAACAACGATGGTTGGTTATACAACACCACGGAAGAATGGGAGAATTAGCTTGCAGAAAGGCCAGCAAAGAGGTGTACAGGCTTATTCAATCGGCACACAACACCGTCACTGAGAAACTGATCTTGCCAGTGTAATCAGCTTCAACAGAGAAAATGTTCATGTTTTTTTCGTAGACAAAGTGTTAAATATGAGTTGTCACACTGGCCTGTGCTGTCTCAGCCGCAGGGAATAGTATACCTCTATGTTAAATTCTTCCCCATATCAACGTCCGCAATCATTTCCTGACAGGCCAAGTGTCAGCAAATGAGTGTAAAATCCCTCTGGATGGATCAAAGACATGCACTTTGTTGACTTCCTGAAACATTTCAGTGAACATGGAAAGTGCTCAAATGAGAAGTCCTGTTTCCTCCTTTTGGATAACCACGAGTGTCATCAATTCATCATTCCTACCCCACTGCTCACATGGGTTCCAAAAGTTTTTGACAATCCAGTGTGACAACTTACCAGCCAAGTGCAAACTCTATATTTAACATTCTACAACTCTGTAATGAGATAAGATTTTATATGCGCCCAAGACTTATTTTATTTGGTACGACATTTATACCATTGTGAAATGGCGGCCAGCAAATTCTAGTAAGTGTGACAACATACCACGCTCTCCCCTACAACATGATGGATCTGCATTTACTTCTCTTCTGACCAAATCCCCAACTCCAATTGCAGAAATGCAGTTCTCCAAACTTGCTTCACTTCTGCCTGCAGACTCATTCTTGTGTCGCTCTCAAGCCCTTCGGTGAAAAACCTGCCTTCTGTTGCAGCCAAATATTTCACATGTTGACTCATCAGTCCAGAGTACCAGCTAGAACATTAATGTAAGCCTATTACCTATTTATAATTGTAAAGATTAATACATTTTCATGTATCCTCTGCTAATAAAGTAAATAAGTTGTGAGTGAAAAAAAACAACAACTAGACATTAGTAGTGACAGTAATGAATTAATAAAAGTCTACATAATGATTTACATGTGTAATCCAGAGCAGCTTTGTGAGTGTGCCTCTCTCTCCTCCTCCCCTGTCTGTGTCTCTGTGATCTACCACAATCAAATCTGCCATGTATACCCAGTCTTATCTGTAACTTGTTGCCAGATTGTAGACTAAACTGCACAGTCAGTCTCACGCCTAGCCTCTAGATATTGCTGCTTTCTTGTTGTTTTTGTAAACTCGCCTAAATCTGTCCTCTGTTTGTAGACTCCCTGCCTGGACTTGACTCCTGTCTCTGCTTCACTCCTGCTGCACATGGACTGGTGTGACTGGATCTCCCACAAGATCCATACTGTATGCAAGTAGAAGTACAGAGCAAAATCACACACTGATTGAACCATTCTACAGTGCAGTGACAGTAGTTAGTGTAATTAAATAGCATTCTTTGGACCTGCAACTTATCTGAGAGAGAGAGGAATCAGATATGATATTACTCATCACACATTTACATGAGCAGCTCTGAACTCTGGCCTAAGTGAATTAAAATCTGCAATTGCATTTAAATTATAATTCATCTTTAACTGGTCAATTTAATTGAGTTTGAAGTAAGATTTAAAGTCAGCATTGATTGTTTATTTTTAATAGTTTAAAAAAAAAATAGATTAGTTAAAGGTTCATTAACTGATTATAATTAAACACCAAAAAGCTACAATTGACTCCAGGCTCTATACATTTTATTTAATTAATTAATAGTTTCTACTAAAGTGAAAATTCTGCAAATGACTTTAAATAATTTCACCTGTTTCCAGCACTGTTTTTTAGTGTCACCAGTTTCTGATCTCTCTCTTCTCTTCTGCCAAGCCAGAAATCTCAGGGTAGTCATGGACTCTGAATTTTAGCAGCCACTTTAAGACAATTACAATACACAGCCTACTATCACCTGAAGAATATATAAAGGATTAAAGGACTTATGTCTCAGCAGGACCTGGAAAAACCTGTCCATGCGTTTATCATCAGTCGACTCAACTACTGTAACGGTGTCTTTACAGGTGTTGTGTAAAAAGCTGATTAGGCCAGATGAAAACGTCTGAACTTTTCCCAACATTTTTATTTTCAGCAAAAACAGACACCAATTAGAATACATAAGTTTAATCGGAGAGGGTCAGAGATCGATGCAAAATAAAAGTCTCATTCCACTCTACTTCTTTTGGACCTCCTTTTATAGCTTTGTTTCTAAGCATGACGTCATCTCTTGGCTCTCTTTCCTGCTGCACCTGGTTCTGTGGAAAGGCCAGGTTGAAGCCCAAACTTGCCCTCAGCACTTTAAGAAACTCTAAGTAGAAGTAAACAACACTTGGAGTCCAAAAGGAGTCACTGGAGTCAGAGATCGATGCAATAGAGTTTGCTGGCTTTACAAGACAAAACCAGAGTAAGCCTCAGCAGACCTCAAGGCGAACTGAATAACTCTGAGCTCCTGAATATATGTGGCTCCTCCTGCGTCAGGCGGGGCCTCTACAAGGCGTACACCTATTTTCCAAATCCATGGCAGCCCTTTGGGGTTCTACTGGTGCGATGTGCCCTTATTAGTTCTCCCTTGCACCACCTAATGGCCTTATTTAGTATTGTTCTTGTGATACTTTACTCCCTTATGTGTGTTATTATATATTTTTAGGCACTGTAATTAGAACTGTACTCAAAAAGGATTTAACTTGTTCATTCTGGATACCTTTACACTTTTAAACTCTAGGGATGTCAAAGAGCATTTTCTGAAAGTTTAATCATACATTCTTGGTTATAAATATATTCTGGTTACATGGCCATAAAAATCAATCATTTCTATATGTCTTAGTTCCTATAGCTCCTGCATAACAAACACGGGTCGTTCACTCTAATGTCGTGGTCTTGAGTGGAAACTGCTCTGTTTATACAGTCGTTGTCTCTGTTGTGTACACTAGACTTTCTTTCTTCACACAGACTGTAGAGCGCTGAGTTAAAGTTCAGACTATAGATTACTTGTTTACTAATGTTTCCAGAATAATATAAATAAAACCCACTAACTGATACATTCTTACACAGTTAGTAACACATTAACACCTTAACCCTTTTAGGCCATTATGAACTGTGCGATGGAAAAATTCAATTTAAAAGCCTTTTAAAATAAATTCTGCAATTACATTTTATAATTTAAATAATTAATTCATTGTTATATACAAAATGAGGAAATAGAGCCATTAACTGGTCGAAAAAAAGCATTACATTTTTATAGATTTATTTAAATGGGTCAGTTGTTTTTAGTCATTTTAAAAAAGTTAAAGCAAACTTTTTTTCTGGTTCCAGCTTCTCTGATGTGGATTTACATGATGATGAACTGAATCTTTGGGCTTTACACTGTTGGTCCAAATCTTTTTGAGTACATTGGGCTGTAGGAGTTATAAAGGACTCAATAAACGAATCAATTAATTGAGAAAATAATCAGTAATAATCAGACACTTCAAGTAATGTAACATAACATACAGCTTTATATTCTTTTGAAGGCCATAAAACTTCAGCAAGTTGTAGAGAGAACAGAGAAAGAGACAGAAACATGAATAAATTAATGTTTTAATTAAAATAATCAGCCGATTAATCAATAATGAAAAAATGTGTTAGTTGTAGCCCTCATTTTTTAAATAAAGTGTCATTACACCAGCAAAACTTCTTTAACAAAAAGAAGCTGAACTGGAAACAGGTGGAAATATTTTTGAATCTCAAAAGGCTAAAAAAATATGAGACCACGAAACAGAGAGACAGATTTTGACTCTATCCTAGTGAATTAAATCATCATTAAACTTTCTATGAAAGGACAGAGAAGGAGACGAGAACAGGGACGATGGACAGCAGCAGAGGAACCGAGAGGGGAACCAGGTGAGCGGCTCCAGAGCCCGGCTGGTTGGTGCTGATCTGCCTGTCGATCCAGGACTGATACTGGGACACTCGGGTGTAGACTCCTGGGACATTAGGCAGGGCACAGCCTTCTCCAAAACTCACCACTCCAGCCTGGACCCAGACAGAGCCGTTTTTAGTCACCAGCGGGCCGCCTGAATCCCCCTGCAGACGTCAGACAGGTCGGTTATACTTCATACTTCTACTCTCAGAGGGAAATACTGTCCTTTTTAGCTTAGTTTATTCTCTCTTTTTTTTTTACCTGTTCGAGTCCTTTGTCTCCATGTTTTAGTGTAGCCCTGTCGCCTGTTTGGTCCGGTCTTAGTCCATGCCCTGATTTTTCAGTCTTTCCATATTTTGTGTTTTACTTTGCTAGATCTGTCCTGGTGTGTTCCCATGCACTTTACTTCCTGTTTTATTTTGTAATCTTCTGTGCCTGGTGTTCTTGTCTAGCTTTGCTTCCTGTTCAGTTCTCCTTTATGTAATCCACCTGTTTTATGTTCCCGCCCTGCTCGTTTGCCTCACTACCTAATGCCTGTGTTCTGTTCAGTCTGTGTTGCATCATTGTGGTTTGTCACATGTAGTCTGTGTTTGCTCCCGCTCCCTGCCTTATTGTGGACTTTTGGTTCAAAATGGATTACTTGGTTTTCGTTGGACTAGTTGTATCTGCCACTGTTGTGAGTACGCCTTCAGTTAATTAAATATTGAACTGAACCTGCTAAGTAGTGATGGCAAGATGAAGCTTCATGAAGCATTGAAGCTTTCCGTCCAATTGATTCACTCATGGGCCGAAGCTTCATTTGCTCTACTGTGTCATCTAGTGGACAATAAATGTAAAACAGGTGATTATAATGGCACCGTGGCTTTTGTGAGTGAAGCTTTGAACTGAATAAACTCATGTATCATGTTTGTCATGCCGATACATAAATGATAAACATATTAATATGGTGTCTGTCTTTATGATACAATGATAGGGTCAAAGGGAACGTGGAAACAACGGAGAGGGTTATGATGTGAATGTGTTGTTTGGTTTGTGACTTTAGATAATAGAGACAACATTTATTCATTTTTATTTTTCCACAGTGCTGGGCTTCAGGCGGTTTCTTCTTTTGGAGATGAGTTTACCTGCTTTAGAATATTATTATTATTATTATTATTATTATTATTATTAGGGTAATATGGGGTAAGACGCCCCAGTTTTATTCTTACAAAAACCACTATGTCAAAAAAAAATCTTCTGGCTGCCGCAAGTCTCACTGAACTAAAAATGTCCTGTTTCATCACAATTTTTGATAAAATAATCTGTAGATACAATCTAACTGTATTCAATTAAAATCTGAAATACAATTTAAAAAGTCCAGAAAATGTTAATGAGGGTCCATTATATTTTGCTGCTCCTTTGGAATCACACACCAAACCCACGAACCATTTCCTGAATCAGTCACGTGGTATGGCCGGCTCGCGAGGCTTCGAACGTCCCCAACACAAGCCTCGATACGCACTTCACAAAAATCACCCCTGATTACTCGACACGCGCTTCGAAGCCTCGATACGGAGGGACACATCACTACTGCTAAGCTCTGGTGTCCTGCGTTTGGGTCCTCAGCCTTGCGCTCACACACTGTAAAACCGTAACAATATATTCCCCATATTCATGCCTCAAGAATCTTGATATACAATGTCAGACACCCCTAAAATGGACCATATCATTTCCCAACCTTGATCTTATTTGATTGTCTCGCCTGCCCGTCTTGTAACCCGCAGCTGCTCATTGAAGTCTAGTGCATCACAACAAGCTACTGTAACACTGTGGATTAATCTAAGTAGTTGGCGATCTAGCTTGTTTAATACACTTAACTTTCCCAACCTTCAAAGTTTCATTTATTTTATGAAATTTCTGAATGAATGCTAAAGTTAGCAAGTTTCTAACTTCTGCCTTACAATTTAGCTATTGTAAGCTAGCTAAAACGTTTCTTTTATGTACTAATACATTTTACTTGATAAAATCTTTTTAGATTTCAGACTTTTACAGGGGTTGCAGCTGAAATGAAGTTATTCTTAAAGAGGTGGTATTATGCTCATTATCAGGTTCAAAATCTTATTTAGGGGTTTGTACCAGAACAGGTTTACATGGTTTAAATAATTTAATTAATAAAAAGAAACACCATAGTTTTCTCATACTGCACATTGCTGCAGCTCCTCTTTTCACCCTGTGTGTTGTACACTCTGCTCTTGAGCTACAGAGTTTTGCATCTTACTTGTACAAAATCTTTTTTCGGAGTTGCACATGCGCAGTTCCCAGGTAAGGACTACTAGCCAATCAGAAGCAGAGAAGGGCGGGTCGTAAGAAACAAGGTAGTGTGATCCAAATCAAAGCCGCTTCAGACTGCGACCGTAATCTAGCACATGGTGTAAGTTACCCACAAGTCCACAACCACACATCCTTGTTCCACATCTTACCATAAACCACTACAAAAATCACCATATTTCAATTTTACATAAACTGGCCAAACAATTTGAATGTTTGCTCAGTAGCTTTCACATCAGGTGTAACGTTAGCATCATAGCTATAACTTTAGCTGTGTTAGCCAACGTTTATAACAACTCTGCACTTCAACAGTCTGTGAAGTTACATTGCCATGTGTATTATAAATATAATTAACAGTCGGAGTTGCGTCGTCTTTTAGGACTAAACGTTGAACTGTTGCCGGTGTTCTGACGATCTATGCTGCCTTGCCGAAAAATGCGATCATAGCGCAAATCGATAGACTCGACTCTACTCGGCCCTGCTCTGTTTTCCATCGCAGACAGGACCCAGAGATGGTACGTAGCTTGTCGTCATAGTGACGCCACACACAACTGCCGCGACGTAATGTTCAATGCGACGCACACACCAGTGATCCACACAGCTTTCTCTTTTTTAAGTTAAAACGTGTCAACCTTCCTCAGAATGCAAAGACAGATAAGCGGTATGAAAACCTTCCAGCTGTGTTTTCCTCTGCTGTTGTTGCTGCAGCGGTCTGTGTGACGGCGGGAGCAGAGGGCTCTGTGAGCGGGCGGCTGGCCGGCCTCACACGCTCCTCCCGCGGGTTGCCGCCATCACTTCTCGTAAAACAGTAAATATTTTAAATCTACACAGCTGATTTCTCACCTCAAAACTTCTCAAATGGATTTACTGATGAAATTACATACGAAAACTGTAAAATATAAACCTTTCTGTTGCTGGCCTCTGTCTGGTGCAGCAATGACGATGCAGTGAATAGTGAATATTCTCTCTGACCAATCAGCAGTCTGTCATGTTTTCACGTTACATTTTAGTTTCCCTCAGCTCGCTTGGAACCTCGACGGAGGCGAGGTGATATGAAAAAAAGTACCTGGAAGCAGGTGCAACATTTCTACAATGGGAAACCAAACAAAGGTGAGTCGAGCCAAAGGGCCTCCGCTCAGACTAGCTTGGTTTGAGGGCGTGTCTGACCCCCGCTAGCCGCTTGGCAAGCTTTATGATGCGTTTTCATTGTGATGTCACAAGTAAAGGAAGTGAAGGGCTGGACTACAAATGAGCTGTTTTCAAGCAGTTCAGAGCAGAGTTTTCTGTGGGAGATGGGAACTCCCTTTGGGCTTTTTCACTTTGCAAACCTGTTACATGCACAGAAAAGATATAAAGGAGAGGGAAAAAGCCAAAAAGCATAATACCACCTCTTTAACACTACAGCATAACATTCATGCAGGTAGCCCTGCAGCCTCTGTGATTTAGGGAGATTAGTCGTCAGTTTGTGACGCAATGGGGATCCCTTTACCATAGTTCAACGTAGTGGGAGAGTCCATTAAATTCTGTTGAAGAAAGAAAGGGGTGGACTGGTAATCTGGCAAATGCCCGGTGGGCCAATGCACCTATGGGATCAATATAACTTAAATTATGTTTTTATAAAAAATGGGCCAACATAGACGGCCCATAGAGCACAGACAGCGGCCCATTGGTTAATTTACTATACTGACACTGGACTGGGCCCAATCACATCTCTTACTAGCCTCCAATCCCTCCCCCTCTGCCCTTTTTTTTTGTCTTATGTTACGGGCCAAAAAAAATTTAAATCTGGAAACAGCTTCCACCAAATGCGTGAAAATAACAGATATGTTTGCTACCAGGGCTACAGCTTCAGCACCAGCTGCAGTACCCGACTGGACAGAGAGGTAAAGAGGTTATTTCGCCAAACGGAGACTCAAGAGAAGGGAAGGCATAGCACATGTACTGACTCAGCAGGGATTTTATTAAATTAGAAATGTTGATACAGGAGAAAAAATTAGCAATAGCTACAGAATGCCTGAAAACCTTACTGCCTTATAATCTATAAAATTTTTAATTGTCACCTATTGCCTGAATATTTTTTCCCTTAATATAGATGAAGATTAACCATAAATTGGTGCTCTTGCATTTCAGGAAAATTACCCCTATCATATAGTCAGACTGTCACCTACTGCTGGAGAAAACTGTGTCAAAGCTGGTTGACATTGTTTGAATGTATCCAAAGAAGGTTAAAGTCACGGGCACCTGGACTTGGTTGAAGATATTAGAAGATGTTTTCTCTCATCCAAGAGACTTCTTCAGTTCTGAAATGAACTTTTTTTTTTTTTAAATGGGTCAGTTTATTAACTAAAAGTCCAGTTACCTGTGACTTTAACCTTCTTTGGATAACTATGACTGAGAACCTTCACAGACATTGTTTATGTAGCACAGTTTCCTTAATGCAGTCTCAACTCTAACTGTCCTAATGGCTGACATTATTTTGTAATCATTGTGTCGGCTAATCTGACGCTGCTGGAAAAATGACTTGTACTGGAGTATGAGTTGTGTACTCCATGGCCACCTCTGATCACCAGGAAGTCAGTAAATGAGGGCAAATGAGTAGAGGTTTGGGGGAATATTAAAATATATTTAAGAGAACTGAAGGATGGTGTTTTGTTGAAGAGTGGCCCCGAGCAAAGGGATGCATAATCATTTACACTATTTAGGTTTCTATGTTTTGGGGAACAGAGATCCTCTCTCGGCCTTGAATGAACATTCAAGGAGAGGAGAAAAAGAACAAGTGGGGGAGACACTAAACAATCTCACAGCTCTGATCTAAACCCTAGTAAATGTGGACAGACTAACGTAAGGAGTATAGAAGAAGGAAAGGTAAAGGATAAAAACACAATACATATATCTATAAGCCTTAACAATAATAGTAGTAATAATAAAAGAACAGGCATAAAAGATTAAATGTAAGACGACACAATTTTCTGCCATAACAGTCGACATCAACAAGTTAAAGGTTTCCACTAAAGTGAAAATCCTACCGAGGAGTTAAAATTATTTCACCGGTTTTCAGCAAAGTTAATAGAAGCTCCAGGATTGGTGATAGATGCATTTATCAATAGAAAATGATTCACTAACTGTTCATAGTTAATTTTATAAACAGAAATTGCAAAGAGTTGTCTGGTTCCAGCTTCACTGATGAGGATTTACATGATGATGAACTGAATATTTTTGGGTTTTAGACTGTTGGTCCAAATCTTTTTGACTACATCGGGCTGTGGACATTTTAAAAGGACATTTTTCTATTTTCTGCCATTTTAAACAAACAGACAAAATGATGAATAAATTATATAATATATAATTTAAATTATATAATAAATTATAATAAAGTTTCTGATCTCTATCTTCTCCTCTGTCGACTCTTTTCTGCAAAACTCCTTCAACACAAGAATAACTGGAAACGGACAGAATTTTAGCTAATTTTAAAGTAAATTAATCTCCAAAGGCAAAAAATTTGCGACCACGAGGCAGAGAGAGAGAGGGATTTTCACTCTAGCAGGGTGAATTAAATCATCCCTAAACTTTCTACGAAAGGACAGAGAAGGAGAAGAGAACAGGGACGATGGACAGCAGCAGAGGAACCGAGAGGGGAACCAGGTGAGCGGCTCCAGAGGTTGTACCGCTCCCAAAGGCTGAACTGTCCTCCGTGAAGGTGATGAAGCCCGGCTGGTTGGTGCTGATCTGGCTGTTGATCCAGGACTGATACTCGGACACTCGGGTGTAGCCTTGTGGGTAATAAGGCAGGGCACAGCCTAGTGCTGATATAAAACTCATCACTCCAGCCTGGACCCAGACAGAGCCCATTTTAGTCACCAGCGGGCCTCCTCCATCCCCCTGCAGACGTCAGACAGGTTGTTATACTTCATCCTTCCTCTATCAGAGGGAAATGCTGTCATTTTTATTCACCAGAGACAGATCTATTAGTGCTAGGAGTGTTTTGCAGACAGACTCACATAGCAGATGCCCTTTCCTCCCTGGGTCACACCGGTACAGATTGTGTTGTTTGTGACTATACCACCGTAGACCTCCCTACACTCACTGTTGGACACGATGGGAAGACTCACCTCCTGCAGCCTCTCTGGGGAAGGAAGTGGAACTGAAAAAGAAAAGAGATAATAATGCTGGGTCTCTATTTTGTCTTTGTGTCAACAGTGTGTGTCTCACAGCCTGATCTTGTTGTTGTCCAGCAGTCCTTCCCTCTTGTCCTCTGTGTTAAGGTTTGTCCAGCTAAGATATACAAGACAAAGGGATTTGGGCCCACAAAACCGTCTTGCTGCCCCAAATACTCACTAGAGCACCACATTTGGATTTATACACCACTGAAAATTGTGCAACAACAAATACACCATTTCCTCCTGTTTGTTTGACAGAAACTACAGCGAGCAGCTGTTTTAGGAAATTACTGAACCTTTTTAAACATGAAACTATATATCTGTGAAGATTTACGTCTTGGGCTCGGAGCTGAGAGCAACAGACAGGAAGTCAGACAGTGTTGAGAGACAGACTGACAGTAAGGGGAAAAAAAATACTTTTCCTCTAAACTTAAATCAACTGGCTTATTCAGTTTTGAGTCAGCTTTGTTGATTTTGACCTGGGGCAGCCCAAATCAGCGGATCCCTGCCTGAAAGGTCTCTTGAAATGGTAGAATTACTTCCCTGTGGGGAATATAATCTGATGGTTTTCCTGTTGAAACAGGACTGTGAGACGTCAGTCCAAAGTGTAAACTAATGAGCGATTACTTTCATTTGATGAATAGGCAGAAGAGCAGGACTTTTTAACCTCGTAGCTACACCAGTACAGGACGATTCCTCACTTTGGACCGCTCCTTTCAGCTCATGATACCAGAACAGGTAGTGGGAATTATTTCAGGAATTATTTCTGCAGTAAAAATCCCGTTCATCTTTCACATAGACGATGTTTGGTGAGACACAGTTGAGCACTTCAAGTCTTGGATGGACATGAAACTCTCCTGTTTAAATCACCGGTACAAGTGTAATAGAAAATATCCATCTGTCCATTTTCTGCCTCTGATCTACAGCAGGGTCTCCAGACTGCCATGATCCAATTACAATATCTTGTTGTGGTTTGGGAAAACACCACATTCACTATTAACACATTTTTAAAAAAAATGATTGTCAAATTAATTTAAATCCTTACTGTAAGTTTGGATGTTCCCCCATCCGGTGACCCAGCAGGTCGTCCCAGGATTAAAGATGCTGCCGTTCGCCGCCAGACACACGGGTCTGATGTAGTTGGTGAAGTTAACAGGTGAGGACAGCTTCAGCAAGGCTATGTCGTTTTTCAAAATGGCTTGAACATAGTTGGGATGCAGGATGATCTGGGACACAGTCTGGGACATCGCGTTTGTATTCAACAAGGTCAGGGTGTCACGGCCGAGGTTAACGGTGAGATTGGGTGTGAAGCTGAGAAGCAAAAAAGACAAATATATGACGGATACTGATGGTGGTGTCTGCATGAATTGTAGAATAAACTATCTTTAAACAATTGATGAATAAGTGATATTGGTATACTGTGCGAGACGAGATGTAGTTCATTGAGCGGTTTCACACAAATCTAAATGTTACTGTTTTACTACAAAGTGCAACTTTCTCGACTGACAAAATTATCTTTTAAATTTACAAAACATCATGTGTGTAATTCAGGACACAATTCAAACAGGATGAAAAACATGGTTCTTGACTACCACAGGCTGCATATTTTTCTGAAATAAGGTCCCAGTGGGCAGAAAGAGAGGGACTTGGCTCCCTCTGAGCAGCAGCGTCTTCACTTGACTTATTGTGCTTATTTTGTTTTTTATTGCTGCAAAAAAAAATCTCTTATGGAACAATAAAGATCTCAGCTGACATGAAACAGCTGTAATGGTGTCTGACTATTACTAACAGCACAAAGAAAAAATGGTTTTAATGTGGTTTACTGCGGCACCCTGATTGTAATTTTTCTTTGTTGCAATACAAGCTCACTGTGATTGTACAGGTGAAGTCATGTGACAGGATCAGAGCTCACCTGCTGACACAGTGAGCAGCAGTCAGGACCCACTGGTTACTGATCAGGGAGCCTCCACAGAAATGAAATCCTTCGTACTGCAGACTGACCATCCAGGGCCACGACCCTGCAGGAGCATTCGCCCCTCCTACGATCCTGGTGTTGAGCGGCGCAGTGCCACAAACTGGAGGGAAACAATCAGAATTCATGTATATTCAGGTTTTTGTGTCCACTTTGTTTACTGTGTTGTTTCTCTCAGGGTCCTATCATCTCTGTGGACTTGTTGAGCTCGGCTCTAAAGATGATCATGGTCGGTCTGTCTGTCCAGCTCATTGGTCTGGATATCTCAACAACTATGGGATGGATTGTGATGAAGTGTGGTTCAGACCATCCTCAGGATGACTTAGTAACTTTGGTGATCCTCTGACTTTTCATCTAACGTTTTGTCCGAAACTTGGATAGAAAACCTCTGAATTTCACATCACTATCTGCTGTGCTTCCAGCGGCATGCTAACATGCTACTGTTAGCAGCAGGTGTCAGCTTTTTATCTTTTAATAATAATCTTTATTTATAGAGCATTTCTCCAAATCTTTATGGGGCAGAGATCAAGTTTCAAGATAAAACCGAATAAACAAGAAAACAATTTTAAGGAATTAAAATACAGGTCAAATAAAATTAAAATAAAGTCAAGTAAAATCCAGAAAGGCTCTCCTATAAAAGTTTTATAATCTTTTAATAAGAGTTCACTTACTCAGCCGACCTGATTTCATCGAGCTGCAAATCAAAGTTACTGGGACTCATCCTGAGGGGAACATGAAAATCTGAACCACACTTCATCACAATTTAACAAACTTCTGTGGGAAGCTTCAAACGTGACACTAACAAACCTGGACTGGATTAATGTTGAGGGTTTAAAGACTGTTTTGAACTTGTAAGAAAAAAATAAATGAAATGACTAAATAAAGGTGTATGTATATATAGGATAGAACTCACCATCTAACTGTGCGTTGCTTCCTGTAGGAGAAACAAATAACAATACATTTAGTCACTTACAGGAAACTGTCCGCATGTTTGAAGTCCTTTGATGATCTCTACATGAATCTAAAATGGTTTTGACAGCCATATTTACAGGTGCATCTCAGAAAATTAGAATATTTTGTTAAAGTTATTTTTTCCTCGTAATTTCATTCAAAATAATATTAAGATTTTCAAGTCCATATCTCAAAATATTAGAATAAAAAATGTATAATACACAAATGTTGACCTTCTGAGAAGTTGAAAAGTTCTGAATAAGATTAATTTATGCACTCGGTACTTGGTCGGGGCTCTTTTTGCGTGGATTACTGCATCAGTGCAGCGTGGCATGGAGACATCAGCCCGTAGCACTGCTGAGGCCCAGGTTGCTTTGATAGCAGCCTTCAGCTTGTCTGTATTATTAGTCTGGTGTCTCTCATTTTCCTCTTGACAATACCACATAGATTCTCGATGGGGTTTCATGTCCGGTGACAGGAATGAGTAGCACATCTGTGCCTGGTGGCTCTTGATGCACTGACCTTCTGATGCTTGTCAATGAGACAACTGTCAAGTCAGAAGTTTTCCCCATGACTGTGGTTGTGTGAACTGAACCAGACTGAGAGAATAGAGGCTCTTCTCAGGTTGACATTTCAGTATTATAAATTCTTTATTCTAATATTCTGATATTTTGAGAAAGTGGATTTTTGATTTCCGTGAGCCATAATCGTCAAGATTAAAACAAAAAAGGCCTGAAATATTTCACTTTATAAGTAATGAATCTAAAATATATGAAAATTTCTATTTTTGAATTAAATTTGGGGGGAAAAATGTACTTTTTCACAATGTTCTAATTTTCTGAGATGCACCTGTACATTTTTGAGAACAAAACCAAGCAGTTTTTCCTGTGTTCCTGAGAAACTTGAGTCATTTTTGACTGTTCTGTCTATAATAAAGCAGTTTTGGGCAGTAACGCGTCACTGAGTAATGTGTTACTTTAATAATATTACTTTTCCCAGTAACTAGCATTGTAACAACTTTTTCAAATCAGTAATATTATTACAGTTACTAATCCGAGTGTAACAGGGTTACCTTCAGGACCCTGTTTGTTTCTCTGTCCCCACCAGACTTCTGGTTACAGAATATGGAAGGGTAGCGAGGAAGGATATTCAGGGGCGCAGGTTACTTCCACTCACTGTTTGTCAGCTCGCACTACGGTCAGATCACATAGCAAAGTGGATAGCTACACACTGCACACAAACTCACAATTGTTGAAAGTTTTCCTAACTTAAGATGGTACATAGAACGCATGAAGTCAGAGGAATGCAATCACCTTATTAAACACTTAGTTTATTCAACTATTTATTGTAGTTTTTGCTTAATGATGCTGTTTTTACTAACATTAATGCATTGATTATTGACAAATATATATTGACATTTACCTCTCCTCCACTCTGTAGGGCGAGAGCCTGCAGGACTTTCAATCAGGCGTGACAAGGTGATAAAGTGCTGTCCCGTTCCTGTTTACAGCACTTTGAGCCCTTGCAGCCTCTTAAACTCACGCGCAGACCCTACGCGTACCCCCTCTGATGACAATTTTTTTCGTCACGCGGACCCTAGGGGACCCTAGGGGACCCTCGTGTAATCGCAAATGCGGAAAGTATAATTCTTGCCTAACAGGGACTCTTGCTGCTGAACACAGACCGTTTCTGCTGCTCCCTGATAAATGATACGTGTTGCTGATACCTGCTCAGAAAAAAAACAAGAAAACAGGATGGTAACTTGTTTTAACAAGCTAGATAAAAGGTCATGTTGAGACTTACAAGAAATATTTTATTGCTGCTGTGTAAAGGGAACACTGCTGGTAAAAAGCACCTTATTTGTTTAAAGTGTTTGGAAACCACATTATTGCACTTTTGTGTATATAGCAGTACATTTAAATTAAAGCTGCACAATACACTTTAGAATTCATTATTCAGTTTTGTGCATAACTATGTGATCATGATTACAATTTTTAATCATTACACAGCACTAGTAATATTATTACTTTTTAAAGTAGTAAGTAACTTATTTCAATTTCTGAGTAACTGTAATTAAGTAAACTAATTATTTTATTACAGAAAAATACACAGTTGCAATTTATTAATTTGTTAATCTAACAAAACTGTGAATCAGTCTCCTGTCAACACACAGAGTCACACTGCTTGTTCTGGTTATTCAAATATTTCTGCTTGTTGCTGCTGGCACTGAAGTTCCTTCTTACTTTACCTCACCTGTGTGAACAGATAACGCCGTGTCAAGAGAGGAAAACCCCGATAAACACATCAACATACAGGAATATAAACAAAGTGTCTGATTTTACTATAACTAGATAAGAGTCAATCTCTTCCATCCAGATTTATTTTCATTATGAACTCAAAATAATTTAGGTGATCAACTGAGACAATATTTAAAAGCACTCACCTGTAACCGCTAAGACCACGAGCACGACGCCACAAACCAACAGTTTGACCTCCATGGTGCGACTCTACCAACTGTGTCTGCTGATCAACGGAGGAGTTTATCAACCTGGAGGGGAAGGTGTGACCAAACTGCCCTCAGGTGCGTTGATCATGAGGGCACGCTTCACATCACACACACGCCCTTCTTTACCAACAAACCCTCTGTGGCCCCGATATATTGTGATTAGTCACAGTTATCATGCTGGAGATGATGAGCTAAAGACGGATGGGGAAGGGGATATTTGTTCTCTGCATTTAATCCATCCTATTTAGGAGCAGTGGGCTGCCATCAAATGGCGCCTGGGGACCCATGGGTCATGCTGGACTCGATCTGGCAACCCAGCGGTTTCCAAGCCAAGTACTAACAGAGCTAGCTAACTGAGCTAATGCCGCTCCAAAACACATTTCCTCAGAACCAGCCCTAGAACAGGCTGCTTGTATTTGTACTTGGTCTGTCTAATACTGCCAGTTCTCATACTATATAGTGTGTTAGAAGTAGACGCACAGGCACCACTTCATATAGTCATTAATTTAGGGTGGTGTTATGAATTCCATTGTGTCAACTAGTGGTGCTACCAGCAGAGTTTCAGGAGCGGGACCACACATCACTGACGTCACTGCTGACAATTCTCTCCTCCATCTCCACGCTTGAGGCCCCGCTTTCTACAATCCTAAAGTCAGGCGGGGAGCGGGTGAGTCCAGCTTTAACGCCATCCGCCTTCCACGGTCCACTCTCCTCAGCAAACAGAAACATTGCACCCGAAGAATCCTTCGCATCTCGTCAAACAGCTGATCACAGCGTTATCCCGCACCAGCAAGGTCCCGAATCAGTCTTCACAAACAATCTAGACACAAACCAGCTATTTTCCAGCTAAGTCATTCCATGCAGTCGTCTTCTAGCTAATTCGGTTTGAGCTAAAGTCATTCAAGCTAACATTTGTTTCCTAGTCTTTCAAGCAAAACTAGTTTCAAGCTAACATTTGTTTCAAGCTATCATCGAGCTAACAGTAGTTTTGAGCTAACCTCCAGATAACAGTAGTTTTGAGCTAACCTCCAGATAACAGTAGTTTTGAGCTAACCTCCAGCTAACAGTAGTTTCGAGCGAACAGTGTTTCGAGTGAACAATCATTTCAAGCTAACAATCGTTTCAAGCTAACATCCAGCTAACGGTTGTTTCCATTCGTTTTAAACCATGTCGTTTCGAGCTAATGTTGTCTCAAGGGAAGGTCATTTAGATTGAACAGTCGCTTCAAAGCAAGTCATTCCAAACTGATGTCATTTTAAACTAAAATTGTTCTGACTGAACAGTTGTTTCAAAATGAAGGGGCTTTGGCACTTTTGCCACTCACTCTCAGTCATCACTAACCTGACTGTGTCAGTCAGTTCGTTACACAGAACCATCCAATTCGTTGTTGGAAACCGTTTCAGCTTAGCTTTAGTCGGGTCATTAGGCAGCTGGGATGCAAAAACCGCTTGTAGATCACATCCATCAATCTCTGCAGGTCGCTCTAGTCTGGGATTCTGGCACCGGGATGCCAGGATCTCCAGCATCTTATATTTACCAGTCCAGAAACTACAGCTAGAACCTCCGGCACTGGCACCCAGCTTTCCTCCACAGCCCTAGCAGCACCAAGTTATTTCCATTTCTAATTTCGGTCTTCCTCTTAACCTATTACGCCGCCCTCAGCTAATCCTCTTACTCGTCATCCTAGGTCTTTCATCGCCTGTTCTTCAGCTCACTAGTCTACTCAAACACATCGTAGACTACATGATATCTTGTTCTTCTTATCACGCCTTTTCCTCACTAAATGCCTACTAAAAGAGCCCTTGAAGGGCACCTCTACCCGAAAGGTAGAACATCCACCCGGTTGAGAGAACTCACTCCTGAAATGTTTGCATATACTTTCTCCATACACTAAGACGATTACATGGCCATTATTCTAGATCAGTTCCCAAAGTCAGAGGCATGGTTTTACCAAAAATCCACATCCACACTGCTTCCAAGCCACAGCTTGCTTCAGTGGTGTAATCAGGGACCAAACAACCACGCAACTCTACCATGCCCCCAAGTGGTACCCGGTCTCATCCATTGCCGCCGAGCCAAGCTCTCCAGTATTCTCCAACCTCCGGGTTTGAAGGTCTGCAGAGAAACAGCAGGTCTTCCCATGACCCAAGATTTCTAGGATTCTCTCTCGACACAATCTGTTTCACACTGTACTCTGGACTGAAAGCTTATCCAATCAGCATTTCATCACCAATTCCTCCTCGCTTTGGCTCAATCTTCGCCAATTGGGATTGGACGAACAACCGTGTCACCCCGGGATACCAATCATACACCGTTGCCACATATTGTGCAGGTTTTTGGGGATTCTACAAAGAAGACTAATCACAGCAGAATGGTCCCCGAAACTACTACCAACAGCATAGCCCTCTCTCGGGTTACAGGCCAGCTTCGAAGAATTCAGCCACTGTCACAACTAGCACAACATGACCTCCCTGTCATCCATCTCGTCACTACGTCTTATTTCATCAACACGTCCACAGTGGCTACAAAACACACCCCACTGAAGTCCATCTTAGCGAAAGCACTGGCTTCCTTTCCAAACTTCAAAACGCATTCTCAGATAACCCAAATTCTTAGAGGTCTTCAATGTCAAAAGCCATCTCAAGACCCCTGCAGCCTTCCTCTTACAGCAGACTCAATGTCCATCTGCTTCCACACCATCTGCGCTGGTTACAGCATCCCTCACTTGACTTGAACCTTAGACATTTCATTTCACTGCATCTTCTCTTTGCTTGACCTTCGGCGTCATGTGCGCAATTCAGTCATTCCTCAAACAACACTGCTTTCTACCAAAGCGATCCAAAGTCCAGTCAATCGGGCCAGCTTACGTTCATCTTTTTCTCCGAAGTCCAGTCATCTCTGAACCCTTTAAAACCCTTGTGAACTATAAGGAATCCCAGCGCACAACCATGTCAGATCGTCCAAAACCGGTTTAGTAGCTACTCTATTCCGGTTCTACCAGCAGTTCTGTCAAAGTAGTCTTTCATAACGCATTTCTCCCATCTATTACTTCGGTCACTCCTCCAGGATCTGAGCTACCATTCATCCTACTGCGGCATGTTGGACCATGACTTTAAATTACCCTTTTTTAAACTATGTGTAGTCCTTGGTCCTGCGTGTTCTTTCATGAAGCAACAGGAGAAGATGTTTTTGGTCCAAGTTAATCAGTTTTATTACAAGTAAATGAATAAAGCTTACAGAGCTCTGGGTCGATCTTCCTTTCTCTGACAAACAACAAGCTGTATCAGTTCATGAAATCTGACTGGTTATCTCTCCCTGACCCAGTGTTTTAGGATACATCGTCATGTCATAAAACAATAAAACAAAAGTGTAGGTCAGTCCATGATTGGCCCACATCCTCTGACCCCAATGTTTGTCATCGGGCTCCACGAATCACCGTGCTGTTGCTGGGCAGATTACGAGCGTAGTTCCTGAAATGAGATCTTGGAGAAGAGATGTTTTGTTACCACGTTCCAAACCACCCTTTACCCATTGTTCAAGTCTCTTTATCTGATCATGCAGAGACCCCCTGTTTCTGCACCTCTCCAAAAAACACACACATCAGGTCTAGTTTAATAAATGATAAACCAACATAAACTTCTACCTATAAAATACATCAGAGATCAATATAAGAAAACACAAAA